GAATAGCTTTGAGTGAATTATCAACAATAAGCCTTAATTTGCATAAAAGTTTGAAGTACTGTAAAAAAAAAATTGAATACTGTATCAGTGCTAACCTGTATTAGGAATAAATTTAGCTTTCAACGTAGGTTGACTAAATTTATCAATAGTTAAATGAGAAATTTTGATTTGAGGTTGTTCAATTGTAGGCATTTCGGATTTTTCAAGTAATTGTGGTAATGCTTGAGCAGCTAAATCCATAATATAATCCACACCCTTAAATAAATATTTTATTGATTCAAAAATTTCTTAGAATAAAGATAATAAAAAAGATAATGTATCGAGGATTACTTCATGAAGACAACAATTAATATGTCACATTTATTAGCAAATATAGTAATATATTCAAAAAAAAAATTACTGTTACTTTAAGTTAACAGTAATCTCCATTAATGTTTATTGAACTTTAATGACAAAAATTCATAACCACAAAATCAGTTTACTTTAGTGATAAATGATAAAGAGTACAGACAAAATTTACCTTTTGACTGATTCGGAGATATATTCCAGCTGGAACTGATCCCTGCTCAACTTTATGCATGGCTTGAGTTGATAATTGTGTTGCAGTATCTACCGTCAAAGTAGAAATAACTGGACTAGCTAGATGGTCAAATTCGTTATCACTTACCAAAAGTTGAGATTTTTGGTTATCTGCTGATAGCGGTAGATCTGCATTCACTTTGAATATGTGCTGCATAGATAGCAAGAAGATTGTTAATTGATAGCAAGTGATAAGATCCATCTTTTGATCAGTTCAACTAGAAAGTAGTCAAATTATTATTGATAGATTACTGTAGTAAATTAATGAATAGCTAAATAATCAAATAGAAAAAGGTTAAAATTTTTAAGCATAACATTAAGTTGTATGGATTTATCTATTTTTGACACAAATTAGATCAAAAATTGCATCAGCAAATCAAAAAAAAATAGATTCAATAGATCAAAAAAGACGTGGATTCAGGTAAACATTTTTATCGAATAATTGTTTTATTTCAGTTTAAAAGTAATAAGTGAAAAACTAACAGAATTACACCAGTAGGACTGAAAACAGCTGTGAAAGTGTGCTGGAGCGAGTCGAGGTCTTACCCTGCTTGAACAGTTGGCATCTGAGCCAAAGTTCAGCATCGCTCTTCGTCACTTGCCAATAATTTTTGATTTACTACCAGAAAAATTCTGAATTTGCCTTATATACTCTCAGAGCAAATATAAATCGATAATATATATTATAAGTATTGCATTTTTTGCTTTAAAAATAGTCGAAATTTACGGGTAAGCAATATTTTTGGTTTAAAAATATTTATGCATTGTGAAGCAAATTTTGTATTTATATATTTTATCAAAATTATTTTGATTTATTGATTTTATATTTTTAATAATTCTATACTTTTTACATCATTTAAAATTTATAAGCTCATAAAATATTATTCAATAAATTTAATAACCATATAGAAAACAGAAAAATCAGTCAAAAAAATAATGAGCAGATTATTTGTGAGTTGGAAAATCGCAGAAAAATATTATGCGCAGATAATTAGACAT